TAGTCAGTCTGCCTATTCTGTTCCCTGCTATGTCTCTGGTGAATCCTCTCACCCTCCTGTGCTTCTGACTATACCCAGTACTTGTATAAATAAATAAATAAATAAATAAATAAATAAATAAATAAATAATCTTTAGAAAAAATTTAATACAAAAAATAATAAAATAATAAAAAACCCTAGAATTTGGAAAGAAATTACCATATGAAAGAAGTGATATGCAGTTATCAGCATTTTGTTCTTTCTGTTGTTTTGGGAGGTTGTGTTTCGGTGTATATCGTGACTTTAGAATTTTATGTAACAGTATAGCAACCAGTTATAGATAACTTCCAACATAAAGCAATAATCAATTTTTGTCATTTCAAGCAATGCATGCTTAATCAATGTTGCATGTTAATCAATATTGCATATATATTTTAAGATCCATTTTTTTGAAGCCGTAAGATATATCACACCATCTTTTCTTATACAGTATTAATTTTATATAAGTGAAATACACTTCACTTTTACATTTTAGTATAAAATCCTTCACAAATTCATACCATGAGATTGCAGTAGGCTCTGAGTAAGGCACCTTCATTTCCTTTGTTTTCTCTTCTGTAAAGTAGTAAGCAAGTGTGTGGGTAGCTGTGAAATTTATGTAACTTTCGCCCTGAACATGAAGATTGAAAACTCGGGTCAGTGACTGTATTTGTTTCCTAGAATAGCCGTAATAAAGCACCATAAACTGGATGGCCTAAAACAATAGAAATTTATTGCCTTTCAGCACCGAAGGTTAGAAGTCCTAAATTAACATGTCATCAGGACCATGCTTTCTCGGGTTCTAGGGGAGAATTTATTCTAAGCTTTTCTCTTAGCTTCTGGTGGTAGCCAGCAGTCTTTGGCATTCCTTGATGCCTCACCACAGCTTCTGCCTCTGCCTTCATGTGATCTTCTCCGTGCTTTGTGTCTCTGTTTTCTCTTCTTAAAAGGATGGTAGTCATCAGTTTAGAGCCCATATTAATCCAGTACAAACTCCTCTTAACTTGATTACATGTGCAAAGACCCTAGTTCCAAATAAGGTCTTATACACAAGTTCTTGGGTTAAGACTTGAAGATATCTTTTGGGCAAAAACACAATACAACCCATAAAGGTGGCTATGAATCAGAGAAACTCACCACTGAGTAAATGGTCTCAATCACACTTTTAAATTCCTATAGCTGCCTATTTCCTTAGAAATTATATTTTCATGATTTTACCCAATATTTTGTAAACAGGAAGTAATATGAAATCCCAATTAGTGAATCACTGTTAATAACATATACAAAAAATGACTAGAAGAGATAGAATAATTTTAATATCTATAAATTTAATGTGTAGAATAACATATATATGTGTATATTTATCTCTCGCACAGCCACTGAATGAGTGAGTCAATGAATCACAATGATCAGTGTAATGTCAAATTATATTGGACATAGTTTAATCTTCCTTTGATGATTCAAAATTTCCGATAGGTAAAAGATAGCAGTGTACAAGTTATGAGATCAGTACTTACTTAAAATGCTAATTGTGCATTTATTTCATTCTACCTCCTTGTCCCTATTTGTAAATTCATTAAAGTATGTTTTAAGTTGCAATTTTTTCATCTCCCTTTTCTGTTGATTTTCTCTTTAGGTTACTGTATAGTATTTCCTTTAGCTTAATTATATTACTTTTGTTGAGCAAGTAGCACCAATATATTAGTTTGGTTTCTGGACCTGTAAAATTACGTGCTTTATCAGGTACCACTGTTGTATCCCCTTCAATCTATTTTTCTCTGATTATGGTGATATTATTTGAATTATGTTTTTTATTAATGGTACTTCCATTTCCCCTTTTATCCAATACAGAAAAAAAAAACATTAAACAAACAAAAAAATTATAATATAACCCCGACCTTACAAGTGAACACTATTTCCTCACTCTTAAAACTGCTTATTATCTCTGCATGATTTCAGAAGGATGAGAATGCAATATATACATTAAAAAAAAGTTTCATGAAAGAAAATAAATGTTAAGGCAAAGACCAAAAAATGCCAAAATTCAAACTGAAAAAATTCCTAGTTGCTGCTTATCAAGCTGCTAATGTTTCTCATCTTACGGTTCTCCTTTTCACAGATATTCAAGTATTTGTTATTTAAACCTATCATTAAAGCCAAAAATTTCTACTACAAACATGACTGAGAAATCAAAATATTTAAAAGAGTGGAAATGATTTTAGTTTTTCAAAGAAGAGAAAAATGGGAGTTTACTATCATGGAAGAAAGTTTTTTTTTTTTTCCCACTCATTTTTATTCCACATTGCTGTTGTGTTTTTCAATCCTCAGAAGCCTACCTTCATAAAAAATCAGCAGATATCCCTGAATAACAATGCAAAGTCAGGGTTTGCAGCCATTTTCTAAGCAATTGAAAAGAGGTACCATTTTAGTTACCTTCTGAGACTGTTCACATTTAATTACATTAGTGGCACTTGACATTATAAAATGTTCTTTTCTTTCAAATATAACCTTCTATCATCATTAGTAAATGTCAAATGCAATGAAGTGTTTTTCTGACTTCTTTTTCTTCTGATATCATGGGAGAGAAAATGCTAATAAGTTTGTAATCCTGGAATTATTTTCAGTACCCCAAACCAATGCAGAAAATATTTTGGTGTCTATTTATTAGCTTAGTTTTAGTCTTATCTCTGTTTTTCTCTGATTTGGAAAGAAAATTTCCTTTTTGTGTTTTTCACAATACATTTCCTGTTTGGTGCCATTTCTTATTCTCCCTGAGAGCTTGTAGGTGACAACTACCTCCAATTTGATTGTGTTCCTGGGTTCAAATCAGATTGGAAAATCCTGCCTCTTGCTATGACTTAGATGCTACGTGCAAGCTTCATTTGTTTCTTGAAAGCTTTTTTTTTTTGTCCCTATTGCTCTAATTTTAAATTCTGCTACATAATGGCTATCTAACCTTGTGTTTTCCTATAACATCTCAATTTAGCTCTCTGAAAGATTAAATACATTCACAGTATGAAACTGATGTGCCTTATAACTAGAACTAGGTTCTTCACTGTCAAAATAATATTAACATCTTATGGAAAGGGAAGCCATCACTGGTGAGGTCAAGAAGAAAGAGATAACATAGTTTTCCAACACAACATTATTCAGTGGCTGTGTTGAAGACATGCCTGACAGGAAGAGTCTGGGTCACCTTCTAGCAATGCCTCAGGCATATCAGCTGAGAAATTTGAGGAAACCATCTATTGTACAGTGTAGGCAGCAGGAAAGCTATGCATCCAATGCCAAAAGAAAACCATTTAAAGTTACTTCACAATAAGGAAAAAAGATAAATTTATAGATGTGTTCTAGAAAATATGAACCTAAGTCAAAAGTAGAAAAGTTTTCAAATGAATGACTGGATGTAAGGGGTTCTATTCCCCAGAGAGCTAAAATACACTGTGCAGCCTCTGATTATACCTTGTTTTTAAAAAACAAGGTTTAAAACATGATCTTTGGAAATCTGGTTCTCTAGCTTTCTTCATTATTTCACAGTTGGATATACTGTTAATTGAATTAAATTCAGTGGATATCAAAAAATATCCAAATAAGCTCAAATTTTTTCCTTTCTGCCTAACAAATTTATGTATTTGTCCCAGTTATATGCAGCTTATGCTATCTGTATTTATTTCTAGCATCTACACACTCTTTTAGTGTTTATAAAATATGAAGCAAAGTAGAATAAAATATTTAAATAATGGCCAGATAAGATCTATTATATAAGGCACTAGATTTACATTATTAAACTTGAGATTCAACACTATTTAAAGAATTAATTAGCAGTTTATGTGCCTTAAAATAACTTTTAAATGAGAATATTAACATTTTTCTAATGATATTTAGCATCATTAAACATATTAAAAATATTAACTGTTGGTCTGTCTTGTATAATACAAATCTGTCTCCCAGTTTATAATTTGGATATATATGATTTCCATTTTATTTATACCATTTACCCTATATTTGATGAATTGTCAGACATTTTTGAGGTGAAAACTCTGCTTTCCTTTCTGTTTTTGTCTTTAGTGTTATGTTTTGAGAGATCTTGCCCACCAGTTATGCTTTATTTTACCATAATCTTTTTCATCCTAGCTTTGAAACTGTGTTTTCCCTAATATACCCAATAAACGCCTTCGACGCAATCTGGCCTTATCCCTGCTCCAAAGAGTAGATATAATTGTTGTTAGTTTCATGAAAAGTCTCACCCTTGGCTAATTTTCAAGTTCCATTTTGTACTTAGGAAATCATTATCAGCTTTCTTTGGTTACCCTTCTCTGTCATTATTTGACCATGTTTTGTGTGTTGTGCTCTGTGTAAAGAACTTTGAACGCATTATGGCATGTAATCCTAACTAGCGTGAGCTGGAAGGCTTGAGTTTACAAGTTAGAGGCTTTTTCTATAATTTCCCTGCTTTATAATGTGAAAGCAGGGACTTCAGATCTGTCTGCTCTCAACATCCACACAAAACAGGTATTTTTATTCTCATTTTACAGTTGAATAAAACAAACTAAATAGCATGCTCTTAAAAGCAGTTATGTTTTCATAAACTTCTTTTTTTCCCCACAGTGACTTGTACTTAATAGACAGACAATAAATACATAATAATAGAGCCAATGTTCTTTCTGGTTTTAAACTATACCAAAGCCACAGCTTTTGATATGTATAATCTTTCTTTTAATTTTATTTTCTGTAATTGGATTGTACTTAATGGGACTCAACATTTGTAGAAGTTACTTTGAGCTATATCTTTACACACAAAAAAGAAATTTTCCGAATATTATCTGCTATATGAAAATCATTAGGAAAAATAAGACTGATGAAGATATAGAACTACATTGCAAATACAATTTAATTTCTCTGTTATGACCATTTTTAGAATCATTAATCACTACTCAAGATGTTTGTCTTATATTTGAGAAATTATTATTGTTCATTTTTAGGACACAGCAGGCCAAGAGAGATACCGGACTATCACCACAGCCTATTATCGTGGGGCCATGGGCTTTATTTTAATGTATGACATCACAAATGAAGAGTCCTTCAATGCAGTACAAGATTGGTAAGTAAGAGCCAATTCTTCCATTACTAATAATATTTTCTTTTCATTTAGCTTTCTCTTCCTCCTCAAAACAATGACTATTCTAATTGCAATGTATATGTTAATGGAATACTACAATGTCCTTGTGCTTCATAAAACGAACAGATACTAGTAATGCACAAAACTACTATTTAGCGATTCATAAGAGATAATTTTGGTGATTTGGTGATTTTTCAACATTTTGTCTATTCCAGTGCTTTGCAGTTTGTCATCCTTATTCCTATGGAGATGAGAGCATTGCTTTTGGTTGTTTTGTTTTTTTTAATGTAAATAATGAATGGTTTAGAAGTTTACTGGATCATTTACTTATTGTCTTTGCTGCTTTCGGTCCACAGCAGCACAGTTAAGTATTACAACTGAGATCATCAAGCTCACAAGTCTAAAGCATTATCTATCTGGCCTTTTACAGTAAAAGTTTGCTAACCCCTTGTCCAGAAGGTTGTTAAATAGTGTTCAGGATTTTTTTTTTTAATTGAAAATTTTAAAGGCTGGGATGAAGAAAAAGACAAAACCAAAATGCTTTCTGACTCACAGCTATATCAAACCATCTAAAAATACCTGAGCCTTTGATGAGTGTGACTTTTAGTAGGAGATTCACAGCCACGACTGTAACTTCAGCCTATTCTACCAGCCTCTTGTGGAGACCTTGACAAGCTAGTGGTCATGGTAATGAATTTCAGCAATAGGGCTACGTGTGGAAAGAGTGAGAGTCTAACTAGAACTTTGTGTGGTATTAGGAAGAAAGTGGAACTCCCACTGGTGGGACCGGGACTGAATATACACCACATTTCAGTTCCAAAGATAACCACAACTTGTTCTGTGTAAGCAATACGACAGTGAAACAAACAGCATTCATTTTTTCCCCCATTTTACATGATAATATTATCCAAAATGATTTTTTTAACATGCTTGTCAGTTCAGTGAAGGTCAGATGCTAAAAACCCTACTTTCCTTTAGATTGTTTCTTTTAAATTGCAGTTTTTCATCTGGGGAAACCCTTATATCTTTTTTAGACACACAAATACACACACTCACACATACACACTTACAATGTAAGAAATAATACCATTGACATTAGGGACAAAGGGAAATACATAGCTATAAAATGAAAAACATAAACTTAGGACCTCTGAAAGAATAATCTACTGAGGGACATAAAAGGAATTAAGTACCCTTCCTTTTTTGAGACTAAATATTGTAAAAATGCCAGTTTTTCTCAAATTCATAAACTCAAGGCAATCCCAATTAAATATCAGCACGTTTGGTAAAAATTGCAAAGAAATAGAGAGTCCAGATACAGACACAAAATTGTATGGAGTTTTAGTTTATGATATCAGTAGTATTTCCAATTAGTGGCAAAAAGGCTTGTTAAATTCATAATATGGTAAGAGCTAGATAGGTGCTACACATAGCTCTGGCACACATATTGCCAAGCAAATGATCTTTTAAGTTGGAATGTTTCCCCTCAGGGAATGATGATTCCCAGGGCTCCCAGGCAGGCATGAATTGACTTCCAGAGCTCAAGGTTCCAAATGCTGTTTGCTGTTACCCTCCTTGCCCTGTTGACAGCCAAGCTAAGAGGAAGGATTCATTGAGTTCCTTAAAAAAAAAAAAAGGGGGGGGGAAGTAATACTAGCAGCATTGCTATCAGTACCACTCACTCTCACATCAGAATACAGACAAGTCCAGCTTCCTGAGACCTGCCTCACACCCCTTCTTGGTAACCTCAGTCAAACCTTCAATCCACTGAGGCTTCCTCACTGTCAACAGACCCATCTGCCCTATTCAGTCCTCCTCCTCCTCCAATTCTTTAATTCTGTTTATCCAGTCTTTCCTTTTGAAGTTCTGCTTCCTGTCTTCTGAAAGGTGCATTTTGAAATGATTCTTATCTCTAACGGCTCCTCTGTCTTCTACCTAGATTTCACTCCCTCATTTTACTCAGCCCAGGTTAAGTGTATACCCATGGCATTTTTTTTTTTTTTGGACTACTTCACAATTTTCTTGGCCATCTTATCTACTCACACGCATTATTTATCACTTATACCAGATAACTCCAAAGTTTAGATTTCTGGTTCCAGACTGTCTTTCTAAACTGCAGTGTTGCATTTCCAGGTCCAAAAATATTTCTCCAACTGAACATCAAGCTGGTGCTTCATGATCAATTATCTTCACCCCAAACTGCTCCCCTTCCTTATATTTTTCACTTCTGTGCCTAGAGTCTGCAATACTCTGTCACCCAGTGCCCACCTTGAGTCCAGCTCTGCACCAGCCATCCCAACCTGGGGCCTGAACTTGCATATTATTATTTTTTTTTTTTTACTATTCTTTGCATCCTTCCTTTCTATTACTTCTGTGACAGTAACAGCTCATTTAATTTTTTCATTTACTTTTACCCTCATAGTAGCTTTCCAACGAATCCTTCACTCTTTAAGTTTCTTCCTATCCCAATTTGTCTGATTCTACTACAGCTATAAGGATCTTCCTAAAGAATGTGAAACTAAAGATCATGGAAGACTCCTGCCCAAAAGCCACAACTCACCATTACCTCCTTAATTAATTAAAACTTTCTCAGTTGACATACCATATCGTAGAGCCACTCTATCTGTATATCTCCTCTCCCTATTCAAGAACCAGATTGAACCATTCACTGCTTCTGGATATTAACCTAAATTTACCAGTCTTTGGGGGGGTTTGTTTGATTTTTTGCTTTGATGGCATCCTCTGCTTATGTATTTTGTAAAACCTCCCACTCTGCCTCCTGTATATGTGGAGCTCTATCAAAATTCAACAAAACCATTTGTGAATCAACCCTTACTTACTCATTTTTAAATCAAAATTGTATGATCATTGATTAGCTTTTTAAATTCATTCAACAAACATTTTTTGAGCACCTACTCCATGAGAGTCAATCTGCTGGATGTTACATTTCGTACCAATGCCAGCATTTACTCTCTTAGTTAATAGATTCATTCTCTCAAAGTTATCTGACACAGAAATTTGAGCACTGTTTTTGATTTCTCCCTCTTTTACCTATCACATCTCATTGACTACATAGTGCAGTTTTTTTTTCTGAATGCTGTTCAAACCTATTTGTCTCCTTTGGCTCCATTCCCACTGTTTACTCCAGATTACCATTAGCTCTCATCCACTTTAGAAACTTGATTTTAGGATTAAAAAAATACAGAAAAACAGATATAGCAAAAAGAAGAATCACGTGGAACTGATTTGCAACTGAAGTTTCAAATACTTTCCCTAACAAAATCCAATTCAATGATACAGGAAGAAAAGAAAATGCTTATTGGCTGTAATCTCAGTAAAATCATTGAACTATCTTAACTATAGAAAAATTTAGATTGTCAGTTTTCTTAAAAATCTAATCTGTTAAGAAGGCAGTCATAGAAATTTAAAGAGAAAATCAGCAAGCTAGCAGATCACTTTAGGAAATGAAGATTATCCCTTTTTTGAAAGCACATTAGACTATGCTTTGTATTTACCAATTAAATTGTATTCGAGCATTTAAACTAAGTAAACACATCCTCTTTAATTTAATCAAATCCCCCAGTTCTATAAAAGAAGAAACTCATGATGAGCTTATTTAAAAAGTTATCTAGAGTCTACAAATCTTCAAAATCAATGTAGGAAAGTAAACACAAAAGATGTATAAGCAGTGCTGTAAACCAGTGTTACCTCAAAAAAAAAAAAAAATGATGCACATAAAGTGATCTAAAAAATAGTCACAGACAGTAACTCTCAAGAATCAAGAAAACTATATTAGTTTTAGTGCTTGGTTTCTACAAATAAAGTGTGCAAAGTTTATGTATTACTACTTTATTGAGAAATATATACAATCTCAGAGAAGCAAGACTGAGGAGAAAGGAAATATATCGGGGGAAGAAAGACCAACACTAGTTGACATATTGCACACCCATCAGCATCTGACATCAATTGTAAGTGACTGTTGATCTCACCAGAACTTCTTTGGTGAGTCATTCAGAGAAACTACCTGGTAGAAGAAGGGGGGGTCAATTTACACATCAGCTCTTGTCTTCTGTTGTTCAGATGTTCACTTCTGGACCTTAAACTCCCTCACACTTCTGAGTTACACATACATGGATTATTTATGACTCAGTGGCAACAGGGAAACTTCATTGTGGGAGGCAAGGTCCTTGGCATTGACAGGAAGCGAGCTGCTTTGGGTTGTGCCTGTGTCACGTTTGATGTCAGAAGATATAGCTGTGCAGAGTCCTTGTGGAAGTGGTTGGTGGAAAGAATGGAAAAAACAATAGGTGAGTCCAGGGACATCTGAAGGGATGCATAAAGGTATCTGATAGAGACTTTAAAAATCTTATGGAAATCCAAAGAATAAAATGATTATTGTGTTTAAAATGAAATTTAGTTCTGAGAATCCTGGAAACCAAAGTGAACACCCAAGCTGACAAAAAAATAAACATGGATAGAAAGGTAGGTAGGTAGATAGATAGGCAGATGAGAGAGAGAGAGAGAGAGAGAAAGAGGAGAGAGAGAGAGAGAGAATGTTGATCTGTAGACAGATAGATGATAGACAGATAGATAGATAGATAGATAGATAGATAGATAGATAGATAGATAGATAGATAGATAGATAGATAGATAGAGCTATAGCTCCATCAAATCACCCAGGGCAAAAAATACATATTTTTTAATTAAATTCTGGTGAAAATGTCTTTTATTTGGGGCACATTAGGCTTATGTCAACAATGAAAATACAACTCCTCTCTTATAGTGCCTTCAGGACTTCAAAGACAAACCTTAGAGCTTGTTCAGTGAAGGGCCTTATAGGGGGCTAGGCAAATTCTAGGCACAAAGACTTCTGTGGTCTCACGTGATCCAAGAATTGCATCGTAACCTCAAGGAAATGTTTTTGCCATACATGCTACCTAGATTATCTTCCCTAAACATTATTTTTCTTCCTAAAGCATGTG